TGCGACTGAATAGTGGGTTCGATCCTCATTATAGGGTGCTCCAGAGTTTCGGCTTTGAGCTACATCTAAACTACGCTTAGAAAATCATTTGGGCTCTTCTACTTGGTGTAATGGTAAGCAAGCTTGTCTTGCTAGATCAATAACGACTGAATAGTGGGTTCGACACTCGTTGGGTGCTCCACACTTTTGGCTTTGAGCTACATCTAAACTACCTTCAGAAAATCATTTGGGCTCGTCTACTTGGTGTAATGGTGAGCAAGCTTGTCTTGCTAGATCAATAACGACTGAATAGTGGGTTCGATCCTCAATGGGTTATCCACACTTTTGTCTTTGAGCAACATCTCAACTACGCTTAGAAAGTCATTTGAGCTCTTCTACTTGGCGTAATGGTCAGCAAGCTTGTCTTGCTAGATCAATAACGACTGAATAGTGGGTTCGATCCTCAATGGGTGCTCCCCACTTGAGCAGCCTCTAAACTACATTCAGGAAATCTATTGGGCTCTTCTACTTTGTGTAATGGTCAGCAATCTTGTCTTGCTAGATCAATAACGATTCAATAGTGGGTTCAATACTCATTGGGTGCTCCCCACTTTTGGCTTTGAGCTACATCTAAACTACATTCAGGAAATCTTTTGGGCTCTTCTACTTGGTGTAATGGTCAGCAAGCTCGTCTTGCTAGATCAATAACGACTGAATAGTGGGTTCGATCCTCATTGGGTGCTCCCCCACTTTTGGCTTTGAGCGACATCTAAACTACGCTTAGAAATTCATTTGAGCTCTTCTACTTGGTGTAATGGTAAGCAAGTTTGTCTTGCTAGATCAATAACGACTGAATAGTGGGTTCGATCCTCAATGTGTTCTCCCCACTTTTGTCTTTGAGCAACATCTCAACTACGCTTAGAAAGTCATTTGAGCTCTTCTACTTGGTGTAATGGTCAGCAAGCTTGTCTTGCTAGATCAATAACAACTGAATAGTGGGTTCGATCCTCAATGGGTGCTCCCCACTTGAGCAGCATCTAAACTACATTCAGGAAATCTTTTGGGCTCTTCTACTTTGTGTAATGGTCAGCAAGCTTGTCTTGCTAGATCAATTACGACTGAATAGTGGGTTCGAACCTCATGATATTGTGCTCCCCACTTTTGGCTTTGAGCTACATCTAAACTACATTCAGGAAATCATTTGGGCTCTTCTACTTGGTGCAATGGTCAGCAAGCTTTTCTTTACTAGATCAATTACGACTGAATAGTGGGTTCGATCCTCAATGGGTTATCCACACTTTTGTCTTTGAGCAACATCTCAACTACGCTTAGAAAGTCATTTGAGCTCTTCTACTTGGCGTAATGGTCAGCAAGCTTGTCTTGCTAGATCAATTACGACTGAATAGTGGGTTCGATCCTCAATGGGTGCTCCCCACTTGAGCAGCCTCTAAACTACATTCAGGAAATCTATTGGGCTCTTCTACTTTGTGTAATGGTCAGCAATCTTGTCTTGCTAGATCAATAACTATTCAATAGTGGGTTCAATACTCATTGGGTGCTCCCCCACTTTTGGCTTTTAGCTACATCTAAACTACATTCAGGAAATCTTTTGGGCTCTTCTACTTGGTGTAATGGTCAGCAAGCTCGTCTTGCTAGATCAATAACGACTGAATAGTGGGTTCGATCCTCATTGGGTGCTCCCCACTTTTGGCTTTGAGCGACATCTAAACTACGCTTAGAAATTCATTTGAGCTCTTCTACTTGGTGTAATGGTAAGCAAGTTTGTCTTGCTAGATCAATAACGACTGAATAGTGGGTTCGATCCTCAATGTGTTCTCCCCACTTTTGTCTTTTTGAGCAACATCTCAACTACGCTTAGAAAGTCATTTGAGCTCTTCTACTTGGTGTAATGGTCAGCAAGCTTGTCTTGCTAGATCAATAACAACTGAATAGTGGGTTCGATCCTCAATGGGTGCTCCCCACTTGAGCAGCATCTAAACTACATTCAGGAAATCTTTTGGGCTCTTCTACTTTGTGTAATGGTCAGCAAGCTTGTCTTGCTAGATCAATTACGACTGAATAGTGGGTTCGAACCTCATGATATTGTGCTCCCCACTTTTGGCTTTGAGCTACATCTAAACTACATTCAGGAAATCATTTGGGCTCTTCTACTTGGTGCAATGGTCAGCAAGCTTTTCTTGCTAGATCAATTACGACTGAATAGTGGGTTCGATCCTCAATGGGTTATCCACACTTTTGTCTTTGAGCAACATCTCAACTACGCTTAGAAAGTCATTTGAGCTCTTCTACTTGGCGTAATGGTCAGCAAGCTTGTCTTGCTAGATCAATTACGACTGAATAGTGGGTTCGATCCTCAATGGGTGCTCCCCACTTGAGCAGCCTCTAAACTACATTCAGGAAATCTATTGGGCTCTTCTACTTTGTGTAATGGTCAGCAATCTTGTCTTGCTAGATCAATAACTATTCAATAGTGGGTTCAATACTCATTGGGTGCTCCCCACTTTTGGCTTTTAGCTACATCTAAACTACATTCAGGAAATCTTTTGGGCTCTTCTACTTGGTGTAATGGTCAGCAAGCTCGTCTTGCTAGATCAATAACGACTGAATAGTGGGTTCGATCCTCATTGGGTGCTCCCCACTTTTGGCTTTGAGCGACATCTAAACTACGCTTAGAAATTCATTTGAGCTCTTCTACTTGGTGTAATGGTAAGCAAGTTTGTCTTGCTAGATCAATAACGACTGAATAGTGGGTTCGATCCTCAATGTGTTCTCCCCACTTTTGTCTTTGAGCAACATCTCAACTACGCTTAGAAAGTCATTTGAGCTCTTCTACTTGGTGTAATGGTCAGCAAGCTTGTCTTGCTAGATCAATAACAACTGAATAGTGGGTTCGATCCTCAATGGGTGCTCCCCCACTTGAGCAGCATCTAAACTACATTCAGGAAATCTTTTGGGCTCTTCTACTTTGTGTAATGGTCAGCAAGCTTGTCTTGCTAGATCAATTACGACTGAATAGTGGGTTCGAACCCCATGATATTGTGCTCCCCACTTTTGGCTTTGAGCTACATCTAAACTACATTCAGGAAATCATTTGGGCTCTTCTACTTGGTGCAATGGTCAGCAAGCTTTTCTTGCTAGATCAATTACGACTGAATAGTGGGTTCGATCCTCATTGGGTGCTCCCCACTTTTGACTTTGACCTACGTCTGAACTACCTTCAGAAAATCATTTGGGCTCTTCTACTTGGTGTAATAGTCAGCAAGCTTGTCTTGCTAGATCAATAACGACTGAATAGTGGGTTCGATCCTCATGATAGGGTGCTCCACAGTTTCGTCCTTGTGACACATCTAAGCTACGCTTAAAAATCCCAATGAAGGTCATTATGTAAATATTTAATTGTGCACAAAAGCAAAGTTTTTTATCCATTTCACTAAAGCATGCGTTAAACGCGTGTGTGTTATTGTCTGTTCTATCCTGTCTCTGTTTCTTACTTTTTCTCACTGAAACCAAACGACTCCTCCAATATGTCTTCCCCCACATTGCCTTGCGATCAAAATGCAATGGTTCATTATTTATGAGGTATCAGCAAGGAGTAACTAACTAAATTACAAGCACCAATTATATAATAGATATCATTCATTTCAATTATTTTCAACACTTTTGGTAGAAATTCATCTTTTTTTATTTTTTTTAATTTGGGACTGGCAAGAAATTAGAGTTTTTTGATAAATGAATATTTCTTTTTAGAAATAGAAATTCAGGCGTTCCGAAAGGAACTTGCGCGACAAAAATTTATTTTATTTTTTTAATTTCTTTTCAGAGTGAATAAAAGAAGCACCATTTGTTCTTCGTGTTAAATTCATCAACGAGGCTAAATATATCGTTTATAGAATAGAATGGTCTACTCGAAAAAAAAAAATAACATGTAGAAACATTTTTGGAAATAATTATTGTGAATTAGCGTTATTTAGACATTCCTGAGCCCGCGGCACTTGTCAGAATATAAAAATGTTTTTTTTTTATCGATTTAGAAAGGGGTGCTGTTTACAATACAGTGTCAAACAGTTCTTTGATTTTTACAGTTACTGAACCTAGATTTTGCGTCCTAAAACATACTTTTGTAGAGGAGGTTATAAAAATATTTCTTTTAAATAAAGTATAAACGAATTATTTTTAATTAATGAACAAATAATTTATATAAATAAAAAATAATGTCTTCCTCCGTTTATACTTGATTTAAGAAAAATAATTATTAACCTCAAGTGTTTTAAACAAATTATAAAGTTAAAAAATGGTAAAAAGATTAAAAATTCGGAAAATTAAAAAAAAATATGAAGATATCAATAATGTTAGCACAGTTTCAAACTTTACTTCTGTAAATAATGTTTTAAATCAGATTTAAAACAGAGGGTTTCTTTCATTTCATTGAAGCAGACGTTAAACACGTGAGCGTTCTCGCCTTCCCTGTTTGTTCTTTCTTTCTTGCTGGTCTTTTCTCACTCAAACCAAATGGGGTATTTGATATATCTTCCCTACTTGTCTTTGCGATCAAAACGGAGTAGTTCATTATTCTTTAGGTATGGGCGGGGCGTAGCGTAAAGCTTAGTAACTTACCTTAAGTCCACTAACTCTGTAAAAGTCAGAGATGGATTTTAAACTATATCGATATTATAAACATGATCCCCCTTCTAAATTGATAAAAGAAATCGTTATTTTTCGATACTGACAAGTGCAGCTACGTCAAGAAGGTCTAAAGAATTCTCATTTACAAATATTATCCCCACATCACGCCACAATTTTTTCATTACTTTTACAAGTGGACCAATCTATTTAAGTATTGCCGTTTATCGAATGACATTTCTGGCTTAAGAAATTATCAAAAGTAATAAGACATTGTTCTGTAAGCTTCTAAGCGAAGTGATTCCGTGTCCAGCATGTCAAAGAAAATATTCGTTAAAATGACTAAGAAAGCCAATCAATCTACGGCATTTTTACCAATCTCATTGGCTGTCTATATATGGCAGACTAACATTGTCGTAAATGCTAACTTTCGACGAACTGGTGTTACGGAATGTCATTGGCCGTTTGGCCGACGGGTACTGGAGAGGTGTTGGCTCGGGAGGGTTATCCAAATCCTGAAGCCATTGACGACGTGGGTAAGTACCCATTACTGGCATATTGTCAGCTTCATCGTAGTCGTCATCTTCAACTAGCGCGGGTGTAGTTTGTTGAGTGCCAATAACAGTGGTTGTGGTTTGTTCATTTGAAGAAGCGGAGGTACCTTGAGTGTGAGACTTGGAGATGCTCGATACGCCTGACTGCTGATGCTGCTGCTGCTGCTGCTTCGGTTCCACACTAACCTTGGGTCTTTGCATTGGCTGGGGTAGTTGTTGCTGAAGAAATTGTTGTTGTTGTTGTTGCTGCTGCTGCTGTTGTTGTTTTTTAATTAAAGACTGATAGTGTTGTTGTTGTTGTTGGTGGTGGTGATGGGGGTAAGCTGGGCCAGTATCTACCGGACCGCTGGGTATAGGAGTACTTGTGTAAGGCGCGGTTCCTCTAGCACTGTTTATCGAAAAGGTCTCCACATGGACTGGTTTGTACTGGGCTCCAACTGTTACCTTGGACGCATTCGCGTCAGTTAGACCAGTAACAGTCTCCGGTGTGGGTTGTTGCATTTTGGGCTGAGAACTTGAAACCGGTGGTACGATATTTCGGGCAGTTTCGACGCGTCCAGTTACGGGTTCGTAGTCTGCATAACCTGTTGCCTGAGGGTGGTCTGGTTTCGGCGGGCCGGCAGCGGATGTCACTTGAGTTGGTTGGTAATGATGATGCTGATATTGTTGTTGAAGCTGATGTTGAAGTTGTTGTTGTTGTTGTTGGAGTTGTTGTTGGAGTTGTTGTTGTTGTTGGAGTTGATGTTGTTGTTGTTGCTGGAGTTGATGTTGTTTTTGTTCTTGCTGCTGCTGCTGCTGGCGGTGTTGGTGGTAGAGATGATGATGTTGATGATGATGACTGGGCGGTTGCGAGCCTGATGGTACCGCAACAGCTGTCACCCTCATTGTCGATTTGGGCGTTTCCTCCGACGAGGTAATGATCGTCGGAACAATTCTCTCCTTGCCGGACGGCCCATCGTCAACAATCTGAGTCGTTGGCGAAATTCTAACTCGTTTCGGGGAGCTCTGCGGCGTCAGCCTACTTTTGTTGTAGTTCTTGGTCGGATAACCGCCATCAACCATTTCGAGATCGAATACCACTGGTGTACCTTCGCTTACCTTCGCCCCTACCCCTGGAATAGTTTTGCTTGCGTCCGTTTCCTGCAAAGAAGAATAAAAAAGACAGTTTAGAAACGGAATGTTACAATTTAGATATATACTAGCAGCAATGCCCGGCGTTACCCGTGCTTGATTCAAAAATCGTACGACTCATACAGCAATCGCTATCACTTGACTTAAAATATTTTTGCCCTTCCTTGCTGTTAAAGGAGTGCCCTTTGCCGTGCTGATGTTGCTACATGCCTTACTTCTTGCCTATCTCACACTGCGATTTTTTTCTAAGCTCTATACTAAACATTAAGTCTGTTACGAAAAAAGAACTAAACAAAATGAACACAAAACGATCAGCTTTAAAAAAAAGGACTCGTAACTGGAAAAACCGAATAAAAAAAGAATGTTAACAACAAATACTTTTTCACACCCAACCCAGTTCTGTGACTTGTGACGAATGCAGCTACCAATTTTTTTGCATGCTAGCATGCTAGTTAACATTCGTGTCATTCAGCTGTTGGCTCCCACGCTGGCCAATAGAATCTTCCTGCCTATACGTGGAAGCCAGCTATTGGCTCTCACTCTGGCCAGTATAAAATGGCCACAAACTACATGAAAACTGCCGTAGAAGCATGAAAAAATCGATTATTTCCAGTATCGATGGGAGTTAAGAAATGCAAAGTCGGCCTTGGCCTTTCCGCTAACTTGGAGCATGTGCATGTAAATTTTGGTGCAAATCCGTCGAAAATTGCGGCCGTGCATTCACACACACACACACACACACACACACACACACACACACACATCCTGCCTTTTATAGAGAGAGATATGTTATACTGTGTCTGTTCGGAAAGTATCCAGCTATTTAATGTGAGAAAAGAAATAGCCTAACTTGGGCAATAGCGTCTTAGATACTTTCAAAATATTCCCCTTCAGAACACATGCAGATATCATAGCGCCACTTCCAGGTTTTAAAAAAGCCTACAATGCACTTTCCTGCACTACCATCAACTGTCTTGTCACGTTCTCCTCAATTTCGTCTATGGCGTTTCAGCGCTGATTTCAGGTTTGAGAAAAGCCAGAAGGGATTGAAATCTAGAACTGGAGTGGGCTGATTAACATGGGTAAAAATACGTTTTGCGAAAGTGAACCGTGCGCGAGATGTCAGAAAAGCTATTAGCTTGGTTATTCACTCTATGACGTTCTAAATCTGTAACCTCCCGGGTGATAATCTGTCTACGCACGCGCAATTAGGTTCCCAACGATTGGTTGCCAAGGCACATCAACACAGCACAACTCGCTCTCGAGATATTCAAAATAGCTGAATTCATTCAGGATAGGTCTCAAATCAATAGAGAAGCGTTGATTTAGTGCATTAAAGGAGGAGTTTGGGTTGAAAAATTAATATTTTTTCTAGCTTTTTTCATAATTAGACTACAGACTTATTGATGTTCCAATATTTATGCTCTTTACGACAAATGCCAGAGACAACCCTAAGAGATAGGAAAAAAGGTCAAAATGAACCAATAGAAATAGAGCAAGAGATTAAACTACAAAAATGGAGGTGGGTAGGACACATTAAAAGAAGAAAAGTTAACAGATGGAACAAAACAAACATAATCATGAACGCCCTAAAAGAAAATGTTTTTCAAGGACAAAACATGGATGAATTGATTGATTCATTCATTTTATACAGCTTATCAGCCCTTTGCAGGTCATTTTAAGCCAGCATATATATATTTCGATTGTAAGGATTTTGCTTTTAAAGATTATAATGATTTAGTGATAAAAGTCTTACTAATTACTCTATAGAGGGGAAGAAGTGGATTCATACCTCATCAGAATTTGATAAAAAAATATACTGTAGATATAAAGTGGGGGATCAATTCTATATTAAAATCTATATATAAAATGATCCTCCACTTTGTGGCCACGGTAGTTTCTATACATTTATATTCCAGAGAATGTAAATAAATCTAAAAGACTGTGTGGCTAATCAGCATTTGATAAATTGATTTGTTTTCTATGGTTTATCAGCCCTTTGCAGGTTATTTAAAGCCAGGATATATATTTAGATTGTAAGAATTTTTTTTTTTTTTTTTTTGGGAGATAATGGTTTAGTGATACAAGTTTTATTAATTAATCCATATTTGTTGGTGAAGAAGTGGATTCATACCTAATGAGAATTTGATAAACAGACAAGAAATCATAATGTGGATATAAAGTGGGGGATCAGTTCTATATTACAATCGCTATATAAAATGATCCCTCACTTTATGTCAAAGGTAGTTTCTATCCATTTATATTCCAGAGAATGTAAATAAATCTAAAAGACTGTGTGGCTAATCAGCATTTGATAAATTGATTTGTTTTCTATGGTTTATCAGCCCTTTGCAGGTTATTTAAAGCCAGGATATATATTTAGATTGTAAAAAGTTTTCTTTTAAAGATAATAATGATTTAGTTTTACTAATTAACTTGATACGGGTGGGGAAGATAGATTCATACCTTTCCCAAGGTATTTGCACGTAAGTTAATATAACAAAACCAACTGGAATTGGAACTCGGCACTCCGATTAACAATTTCAAGCCATTATCCATTACACTGACCGTACGACTAAGCATGCAACATCTAGTATTCCCAAGCGGTCACGCAGCTGGGTACCGACCAGGCTCGACTACACCTTTGGTGTGTTGTTCATGATGACGGTCGTCTTTGAGTATAAAATCCAGAGGTTAGCAGTGAATATTTCGAAGACAGTAGGGAAGCGTAGTTCAGGTTAACAGTGGATATCCCGGTAAAGTAGCAGAGCGTAGTTCTTCCTTTCTGTTTCTCTTCGCCTGACAAGCTGGTACTGGACATTCGGATAGAATAAACAAAATGGCCGCCTTTATACACGACGGATTGAATATTCTACGTCTTCTGATTGGTTAACCTTCTATTGGTGGACTATAAAGTGAGTCAACTCATTTTGACTTGCTCACTAGTACATAAATACATATACACAAAAAACTGCAACATGGTGATCGTACGATAACCATTGTTTGAACGGGATTTGGCCGTAAGTTATACCACTCGCATGTCCATGACCAGGCTCGACGTCGATTGACTTAAGTGATCGTTACGGAACCTGGTGTTTCAATGTAATGTGACCCCTAAGCCTAGAGATAGAATAGGGTTTATATCAGCAGTTTTGCTCTAACCACATCTTCACTGTTGATCTGTTGTGCCAAAAAAGCTTTGAGGGAGTAAAAGTTACTCCACATATTCAAGGACAGTGTATCAGCAATCCCATGTCTCCCGGTTCAACTGGAATCTGATACGATCAAACGAAAGGACGAGAATTTTGTTTCGACAGCCAGATGATGTTTTTTAATCGCGTTAAATAAGTTTAAAATATGCTATCATGTCAGAATGATAGCAGTGTCAGATAAAACTGGGCAGATATTGACCTAGTGGTGGAAACTGGTACTGATAAAAACTCACAGGTCCATGAAAATTGACCTCCATTACCTCTGTCTTTAAGATTCAGATTCCTGGCTCCTTAATAATTCCTTATATATATATATATATATATATATATATAGGTGTGTGTGTGTGTGTGTGTGTGTGCTGGCAAGTACATGTGTGTGCACATATGTACATGTCAGTGTGTTCAAGTATGTATGTGTGCACATCCGTATGTGTTTTACACGCACGCGCGTGCGCGCACACACACATACCACAACTAACACACACTTGAGTTTATACTGAAAATTTTTCGGCTCAACCCACTACTTCACAAGCAAATCTGGGCAAATGAACAAACATCATTTTTTGTTGCAGGAAGGGCTTCTTTACAACAGCCTATATATATATATATATATATATATATATATATATATATATATATATATATATAATTTTTAGGTATTTAGGCAAAGCATTCATCGAGTCTAGAAGAATCCTCAACAGAATGCAGAGAGCACTGGACGGCCGTTTCGTCCTATTTTGGAGACTCAGTTTCTTCACCGTCACCGAGGACCGTTGGTATACAGTTGGTATAACGTTTGCGTTATATCGAAACGCTTCGGGCTCGAATCTCTGTAATGGATGCGCACTGCTGATGAGACCCCAAAATAGAACGAAACGGCCGTCCAGTGCTCTCTGCATTCTGTTGAGGATTCTTCAAGACTCGATGAATTACTATTATATATATATATATATATATATATATATATATATATATATATATATATATATCGCTCATTAAGTGATGGTGTTAATAAAATAGTGCTCGGTGTAGAATAACAGAGATACAAATTATATATTAATAATAAATATTTTTCTCATCACCGGTACCACAACTTTGAGTCTGATACGCAATCTTCATGTGCTGATTGAAAAACTGTCAGTATTATTTTTAATATATATATATATATATATATAAATATATATATATATATATATATATATATATCAAATATGTGTTGCAGCTCAATTTATATTACAATAAATCATTCATACAAAAAGTAAATTATTAAAGTTAATGATATAGAATTAATAAAATTAGTAGTAAATTTAATGATATAAAATGTCGAAATTTGAGGAAGAACGTCTTGGGAATATCGCAGCTATGGGGTCACCACTAGGATCTTTTTCCTATATGTATATATAAATTATATTGAACTGAGTTTACATAACAGACACACACGCAAGCATATATATATATATATATATATATATATATATATATATATAATATATATAGAAAGAGCAGTAAGATATATAATCCTGTGTTCTTATTGATATTTTTATTTTTACTTGTTTTAAAAGAAATATAGTCTATTTAAAAATTAAAAGTGAAAATATTTTAAAATTGTAGTTAAATAAAACGTATTCTAACCTAAACATCTAAAAAAAATCTTTAAGTACAAACAAATAGAAAAAAATGCTGTAAGAATTTTTTGCCATTAACAATAAATTTTTTTAAAAACCTCAGACGACATACATTTAACGGATGTCAGAATTCGTTGAAAAATACTTCCCTACCCTACCTAAACACAACCCCTTTTTCGAACGTAATTAATAACTGATACAACAAAAGTTAATAAAAATGAACACGCTACCACCACTTGTCTGAATGATTGGATCTCTCTGTATCCTTGGAAACAGTGAATTTTCCGTGCCTTTAAAAGTCAGTAAATTTAAAAAATAAGTTACTCCAAAATTCGCTTTAGGATGAAATGGAACTAATGTTTTTAATCTGATTACAAAATTAAATTCGAAGCTTTTAGCTTCCATTTTTGAAACATGGTTATTACTGTGTAGCGAAAAAAAACATATTTTAAATCAGTTAATTTATAATATATATATATATATATATATATATATATATATGTGTGTGTGTGTGTGTGTGTGTGTGTGTGTGTGTGTGTGTGTGCGGTACTCGAACCTGTATTAGCGGCTTGGAATGAGAAATCGGATCGTTGATTTTTAATTCCAACCGAGTTCGTTACATTCAGTTATGTGTAAGTACCCTTGGGAAAGGCATGAGTCTATTTTCTCCCTCAGTTAGGGAATAAATAGTAGGACTCATATCTGGAAAAATCATTGTAATTCTAAAAGCAAAAAAAAATGTTAATGCAAAATTCCCTTGCCAAAAAAAGAAGAATTATTCTTGCAATCGAAAATATGCTTCGGCATAAATAAGATCGATAAGGCATAACACCCCTCCCCCCCCCCAAAAAAAACAAATCAATCAATCGTATCCTTCAACCTGTTTCACTCTTTTCGTATTTATCTTAAGTGGTGTAATTAGTTATTTGATTCCAACATGTTAGATTCCGTCAATAAACTACCACCTACTTCATCCCCTGACAATGAAGTGAAACACTCCAATCTTGGATTCTTTGACGTGTCTCTAAATATCGCATGTTTATGATTTCTTCTTTCTTATTGCCATTTCTTTTAGATTAAATTTGACTGCAGACTTGCTAATTTAGAAGTTCCACCATTCCTAAACTAATATAAGACTCGTCTTCATAATTAATTTTGGCATGTATAAATTAATACAAATAGTATTTTTGACATTTATTCTTAATCAGGTTTAATCCTGTTTTAATGTCCCACACTCCCTATCGCCTATGTGGACTGACTATATCAGTAGCTATACATAGTGAGCACAGGATATATCGGGGGGGGGGGTGCTTCGAGAATTACTAACCTGCCACCCGATTCCCTGTCTTTCAGTAGTGTATTCTCTTTTATAATAAACCCCTCTTCTTTCATCTAAGCGCGTGTTGCTGTTCCTTCATACTATGTTTGTCTGTTTGTAACCTCTTTAATGATACAACAAATCCAATAGAAGAGAATGGAAAATGCATCACCAAAATCCGAACGCGTATCGAATTAGCGAAAAATGCCTTCCAAAAGCTAAGCAAAGTATCAACAAACAGGAAAATTTCATTAGAAACAAAGAAAATAAAGCTGAATTGCTATATGATATTTGGTTTGGCAGTGAATGCGAGACAATCTCCCAACAGATGAAGAGAAAAGTGGAGGCAACATAAATTTGGTTCTACAGAAGGATACTTAGGATTCTATCAACGGAGTGAGTAAGCAACAAAGTCTTTAAGAAAGTGCTAACAAAACGAACACTTATACTCAAAATCAGAAAGTGACAGCTCAAATTTCTTGGACACACAACGAGGAAGAAGGGCTTAGAGAATTTGACACTCACAATGCATATCAAGGGCAAGAGAGGGAAGACAGCGGGTCACCCACCTGAAGAGCTTGTGTGAATGGATGACCGAACGTTGGGTGGGAGGTTTAGCAAAGCAGAAAGGCTGCTAAGGGCCACGAAAAATAGGAAGTTGTGGAGAGTTCTAACTGACCACGTCCTGAAGGGACACGTCATATAGAAGAAGAACCCAATATTTTTTCATTTGTCAGCTGAAGAAATCTCTCTCAACAAAAACAATTACTATTCTCAAGAACTTTGTTAACTGGGAAAGCCCTATTTTCTCCTGAAAAATACTATTTGGCACTTCTTTTTCAATCAGAAATAAAATTGTTGAACAGTTATTTTCAAGCTTTGAGTTTTTTGTTCATTCCACTCACACTGCTGAACACAAACACACATGCGACTGGGGAAATTCCCAACATTTTTAAGTCCAGCTGACAAAATGAAAAAATTTCTAGTCCCTAATTCATGATGATATTAATAATTATTACCGTCTTTCTTTCTTTCTTTCTTTCTTTCTTTCTTTCTTTCTTTCTTTCTTTCTTTCTCACAAGATCTCCCTCTATCTCACGTTCACTCTTTTTGGCCTATTGACAGGCGTTTTCTTCTTTCCTCTCCCGTTCTTTCAATCATTTTTCACTCTTTCTTTCTCTCCTTCTTACTTTTCATTTCCTGATATATTTACTGTTTTTCTCTATCGTTTACCAACTTACACACCGACTTTATCAACTATACTGTTCTGCCAGTTTTCTCTCTCTCTCTCTCTCTTCATCTTGCTTGAAGTTTCTCAATATCTCTTTCTCTCTTAATCTTGCTTGTACTCTCTCATTCTCTCTCTTCAACTCGCTTTTACTATCTCAATCCCTCTTTCTCTTCATCTTGTTTACAATCTCTCAGTCTCTCTTTCCTCATCTTGCTTGTACTCAGTATTTTTCTCTCTTCATTTTGCTTGTACTCTCTCATTCTCTCAGTCTCTCTCTTTCTTTTCCTCTTGCTTGTACCCAGTCTCTCTCTTTCTTTTCCTCTTGCTTGTACTCAGTCTCTCCCTCTTTCTCCTCCTCTTGCTTGTACTCAGTCTCTTTCTTTTCCTCTTGCTTGTACTCAGTCTCTCTCTCTCTCTCTTTCTCTTGCTTGTACTCAGTCTCTCTCTCTCTTTCTCTTGCTTGTACTCAGTCTCTCTCTCTCTCTCTCATCTTGTTTGTTTGTACTCAATCTCTCTCTCTTTCTCTTGCTTGTACTCAGTCTCTCTCTCTTTCTCTTCCTCTTGCTTGTACTCAGTCTCTCTCTCTCTCTTTCTCTTGCTTGTACTCAGTCTCTCTTTCTTTCTCTCCCTCTTGCTTGTACTCAGTCTCTCTCTCTCTCTCATCTTGTTTGTACTCAATCTCTCTCTCTTTCTCTTGCTTGTACTCAGTCTCTCTCTCTTTCTCTTCCTCTTGCTTGTACTCAGTCTCTCTCTCTCTCTTCATCTTGTTTGTACTCAATCTCTCTCTTTCTTGCTTGTACTCAGTCTCTCAGTCTCTCTCTTGCTTGTACTTCTCTCTCCTCTTGCTTGCTTGTACCCAGTCTCTCTCTCTCTCTCTTTCTCTTCATCTTGTTTGCACTCTCGCAGTCTCATTCTCTCTCTACTCTTTTCTGCAGTATATCTCTCTCTATTACTGCATATTTTAAACCATATTAACAAGATTACTCCTCTCCTAGTATCTCTCTGTCTGTCTGTCTCTCTTTTTGCCTGTACGTTCTCAGTCTCTCCTTCTTTTCACTAGTTTCTCCAGTATATCTCAGTTTCTTACTGCAGGTTTTCTACTTTCTCTCTCTCTCTCTCTCTCTCTCTCTTACTTCCTTTCCCACCGCATATTTAACAATATTACTCCTCTAGTGAACCCTCTACCTCTCTTTCTTCAATTTGTCTGTATACTCTCAATTTCTCTTTCTCCTTTTCTCTCTCTCTCTATTTGTACACATTTCTCTAGTATCTCTCTTTCTTTTACTGCGAATCTTCATCCTCTCTCTCTCTTTCACTTCTCCTCCCACACCATATTTAATAAGATTATTCCTCTACTGATCCTTTTCTCTCTCTTTTCTTGCCTTTAGCTCTCAGTCTCTCTCTTTCCCTCTTTCTCATTTCTACAGTATCACTCTGCCTTTTACTGTAGGTCTTCATTCGGTCTCTCTCTCTCTCTCACACACACACACACACACACTTTTTCTCACACACAGCATTTAGTAAGGTTACGCTTCTACTGGCGCTCACTCTCTCGTTTTCAACTCTATATACTTATACTTTCTCACTCTCTCTCTCTCTCTCTCTCTCTCTCTCTCTCTCTTTCTTTCCACTATTTTCTCCAATATCTTTTTACCTTTCACTACCGGTTCCCTCCCATCTCTCTCTTTCTCATTTCCTTGTTCAGACCATATTTAAGACGATTACTGTTCTACTGGTCTCTCTTTCTTCATTCTACACGTACTCCTACTCCCACTCTCTCTCTCTCTCCCTCTCTCTCTCTCTCCACTAGTTTTCTCTTGTATCTCCCACACTCTCTTACTCACTTTCGTGACATCTTGTCGCTCTTATGGATTACCGCCCCTGATTAATAAAATCTCAGTGCGGCGAGATTTTGGAATTATCACCCCCTGACGATTTACAGGCGGTGCCATATTTGAAAGACTCGATCTTTTTCTCGGTGACTTTTCATAGCGAAAAGACGTATACTTTTCGTTCCTGCAAAATGTAAGGAATCAACTACAGGCAATTAAATTTGTTTTGATCTTTTCACATTTCATTTCTCATCTTTTCGTTTGTAAAATGTCCTGACAATATATTTGTTAATATTTCTTTGTTCAAATTCTATGTCTTCTTATTCATTTGGATTTATACGAAGCCAGCAAAATTGTTAGCGGTTCAAATGTACCAGGAGCTTATAACTTCTCATTAAATGAATATAAACCCGCCACAACTCTTTTCACTTTTTTCTACGTCATCTCGCCTCTCTCTTTCTCTCTCTCTTTGTTCCTATCTAAATTTTTGTACTCTTTCCGTTTTTCTCTTTCCCTTTCTTTCTCCAATATCTCTCTTCCGTTTACTCTTCTATGGCTAGCAATTGTCTTCCTCATTTTTTTTTACTTTTACTGACTCTCTTTCACTGACCCACTCTTTATTTCTTGATATATTCTCTCTCTCTCTTTCTTATTATACCTCTCTCATTGATGCATGTTTCTACCCTCTTTGTATTTCTCGTTTTTTATTCAGCTCCTCACTTTACGTTCACATTGTTTTTTTTTTATTAACAATTGGCTTCTTTGTTCCACACTTACGTTTTAACTGTTTTACTGATTTTTTCTCCTTTTCCTTTGTAACAATCTTTTTCTCTTTCTTTCTTTCTTTCTTTCTTTCTTTCTTTCTTTCTTTCTTTCTTTCTTTCTTTCTTTCCTTTCTTCCTTCTTTCTTTCTTTATTTCTATTCTAATGTCTTTTCCTTCAGTCCTCTTTTCTTTGCTTTTTGTTTTTTATCCAGTGTGGTTCTAGACATTAATTAAACGTTTTCTTTTTCTTGCTTTCTTTTTCTTTATTCTCTCTCTCTCTCTCTCTCTCTCTCTCTCTTCCTTTCTTTCCATTTTAAACTATTTTTCCTTCAGTCTTCTTTGCTTTTTGTTTTTTATCCAGTGTCGTTCTAGACATTTATTTAACGTTTTCTTTTGCTCTCTCTCTCTCTCTCCCTCTCTCTCTCTCTCACACACACACACACATTCTTCCTTTCTTTTCATTTTAATCTCTTTTCCTTCAGTTCTCTTTTCCTGCTTTTTGTTTTTTGCCAAGCGTGGTTCTAGAAATTTATTTAACGTTCTTTCTTTCTTTCTTTCTTTCTTTCTTTCTTTCTTTTATTGTCTCTCTACTAACACTGTCTTTTCCCCCTACCTCTCTCATATCTTTTTGCTGTCTATCTTTTTCGCTTTCGTATTCTATAGTTTACACTTCAGCCATTTTCCTCTTCCCCATTACAAACATCTCTGTACTTAGCCAGCCCCCCCTGCCTTTCTTCTTCACTTCTCCCTCTCTTTATTGCTCCCAAACCATCTCTTCTTCCAACCTTCTTTCCCGTTTCCTTTCTACAAACTTTTGCTCAAATTCACCTTCTTTACGTCTTCTCAAACTTTTCCATCCCATAATGCTCGTATCTTTCTATCACTTCCTTTTTTCTTTTTCGTAAGCTATGTGGATTAATTAAGCAGTAAAACATGTTCAGGCATGCGTTTGTCAAACGCAGTAGAAATAAAAATAAAATATATTTGAACAATAATTACCTAAAAAAATGCATTCTTTTGCACTCAACAAGTCTCTTTATCGCTTACTAAACAAACAACATCCACAAGAACTTCGTAGCTCTACTTCAGGCCAAAAGAGGTGGCGTTCTTAAAACAAACATGTTGTCATTCCTGTAGACTTCCTTGTAAAGTATAGGGCCACGACCTCAACACATGAAATGCTGATATGCTTTCTTTAGCAAGTATTTTTTTTTTTGGGGGGGGAATTGTTATCCTTCAAGACTAACAGGTTTTGAATTAAAAGTTGTTCTTCTCCTAGACTGGCTAACAACCAAGCCCAGAGATCTCACAACAAACCTACGTCAACTAAGTTCAGTCGAGTTAATTACATTCACTTACGTGCAAATGCCCTTGTGAAAGGTATTAACCTCTATGGATTAAATAACAGGTTAGACTGTGTGCTATAGTCTTGGGTAGCAACCGGTCTTGTAGAATGAGAACTCTGAATTCAAAACCTGAGGAGTCGAGTGGCCGGCAACTAAGTAAGTGGAACCCCAGCAACATAAAAAAGCAAGAGCTCTTAAAGGGCGGACGAACTGCTCAGAGTCAACAACCATCCACCCCAACTATGGGTTAAATAGCCCCTCCAGCATGCTGTTGGCCAAGTATGTTGAATACGGCTACACCCCAGAAGACGTGATCAACCAGAAGTGAGTAGCCTTTGAATTTGGATTGTCAAAGCTATTATTTTGCTTGCTATTAATATATTTATCTGTTTATTTCTAATCATTTCACCCCAATTAAGGCGAAAATACGAATAAGACGCAAAGAAAACTGGGGTTGAAAGAGAATGAAAAAAATTAGTGAGAAGAAATGTAAATAAAAGAACAGGCTCCTGAAAGACAAGAAAATGGCGATTGACGTTGCATTTAAATTTTCGGAAGAGTTCCACAGGTGAGAAGTGCGAGAAAAGATGCTTTTTAGGACAGAACTTACGTTTAATTCTGTTTCGATAAACAGTAAAACGATGAGAGCTAGTTACCAATCTATCAATATGCTTTAATTCAGTACCAAGGTGGAGAGATCCTGAGAGCAACTGTCATGAAAATATTTTTAGAAAAGACAGTGGGAAGCCACGTCACGATGGTAATGCCGAGATGCCACATCAGGACCAATAACTTGTGAGAGGCTATACGATGTCTCATTTTATCAGTGAATAGCTACTTTGCTACTCACTGAATGGTGAATGTTTACAAAAAGAGGGAACACATGTAGAGGAAAACTGGATGAAGAGGTCACAACAGGACGAGGGATCATCATTTCAACTTAGAGCTAAAGAGATCAATGAGAAAAGATCCAACTCGATTCATAAGACGTTTGGCACGTAATAGAGGAATTTCAGCTATGACAGTCCAAAGAGCAGTGAAAAAAGGACTTGTAAATGAAATCGTACATGAAACGTGAGGTGCGTTGTTACTCCAGGACAGAAAGTTAGAAGATTAAAGAGGGCGAAGATCATCTCGAATAAATTGGAAAATGATCCTGGAAAAATAAATATATATTTGAACTTCATTTCAGTACTTCATGAGCTTTATGATCCTTAGCTATGATTAATAAATGATGAACATGTCAATTTTGTTTATGATCGATTTCATCGGTTTACTTCGGTTAAGCTTAGAGAGTAATTATACATTCTTATTGCTCAAAGTAGAGTCCAATGGTGTTATAAAAACCTCGGAGCATTCCAGTAAGATATCTTGAATCATTTCTACGATACAACTGTTCAGAGGTTAATCTAACAATTGGACATTTTTGCGGTTACACGATTTGGACAATTTTGCTATCATACCTGGTATATAGTTCATTACATTCCCTTATATGTGAATACCATTCGGAACGGTAGGAATTCATCTCTTCTCCCTCACTCCCCTACTAAATAGCAGGACAGGAGAAGGACAACTCTGAATTCAAAACCTATGGAGGCCCGTTTAGGACACTTTGGGGCATACTGTGCACCAGTTTTCTGTATTCGGCTCTTCCAAAAAGTGTTGTTGGTTCTGCCCAAGCCCTCACCATTATAATCAAATGATGCAGGTGATCTGGCAATTGGTTCTAAGAACCGAGCTGCTTGTCCATCATATACTAGTATATATATATATATATATATATATATATATATATTATATATATATATATATATATATATATATATTATGTTTATAAGTTATTTTATGGATACAACTCATTTTTTGTAAATGCTCTGTTTTTAATTAAGCAGTATTAATTACATTTACAGGCTTGAATATTCGAGAAATTTCGCAGAAAATATGCGTACTTCAACGGGAATCGAACCTGTATACCATGCGGAAACCGTCATTTAGCTTGACGTGCTGTTAACCGACTCAGTCGTAAAGCCGTATTAAGACGCAAATTACTGTTTATAAAAACTGCGAAATTTGCTCGAATATTCAGGCCGGTAAATGTAATTAATACTGTTTAATAAAAATAGAGCATTTACTCAAATAAGTTTTATCCATAAAAATAACGTATTAAAAGAAAATGTATTAAAATATTTGACGGATGTAATATATATATATATATATATATATATATATATATATATATATATATATATATATATATATAAAAATATTTGTCGGATTTAATACATTATTAATATATATAATATGTATATTAAAATATTTGTCGGATTTAATACATTATATATATATATATATATATATATATATATATATAATATATATATTAAATATTTGTCGGATTTAATACATTATATATATATAAATATATATATATATATATATATATATATATATATATATATATATATATATATATATATATATATATATATATATATATATAAAATATATATATATAAAAATATTTATATATATATATTTAATATATTATTAATATATATAATATATATATTAAAATATTTGTCATATTTAATACATTATATATATATATATATATATATATATATATATATATATATATATATATATATATTAAAATATTTTTGTCGGATTTAATACATTATATATATATATATATATATATATATATATATATATAATAAAACATGAAAACAAAAACATTAAAGTCCAGAGAAATTGTCTCCATTTATAACAATGAATAAATTTATTGAAACAAAACAAGTTCAGTTGACCACTGATGAGCATCGTAGCCATAAACATTTTTTTTTCTATCCTCTTCCAGCTGCAATGATGGAGAAAGCATTACCTCGAACCAGCGTCAGTGAAACACGCTGCAAGAGCCACTCTGTTTCGCGATGCTCGTCCCTTAATCGAGACGCAATCGCGCCAATCCTCCGAAGGAACGCCATCGAACGAGGACCAATAATCCCAGAAGTCTCCACTGCCACAGGAGTAAATTTATTTGGAATTATTCGGTCTGAAGAGATGAATATATAGAAATATTCACGAAATAAATTATAATCGAAATGGACCTTAAGTTTTTCTTCTTGATTTATTATTAATATAATGCTCTGTACTATACATTGAGCTCTCTCCGGATTAATACCATCGTTGGAATTATCCCTACCTGTCACTAATTAATAAATTTATATATATATATATATATATATATATATATATATATATATATATATATATATATATATATATATATATAAAAGAAAAAAGAACCGTAAGATATATAATCCGGTGTTCTTATAGATATTTTATTTTTACAAAATAGTGCTCAATGTAAATTTACAGAGCATTAATATTATAAATTGATTTATTTAAAAATGTTTTTTTCGTTACACAGTTCTAACCATGTTTCAAAAATGGAAGCTAAAATCATGGTTAGAACTGTGTAGCGAAAAAAACATATTTTAAATAAATCAATTTATAATATATATATATATGTGTGTGTGTATATATATGTGTGTGTGTATATGTGTGTGTGCGTATATATATATATATATATATATATATATATATATGTATGTATGTATGTATGTATGTATGTATGTATGTATAATGTCATTGTTAATATATAAATCATCGATTCCTAGCCACATGTAGCCAGACACTCACAAACACACATATATAAGAAAGAAAAGAAAAAAACAAGTAGAAAAATTTAAGCGAAATAATTAATGGATATAGCAGCATCCTTAATTCACATAAATTACGTAAAGAATTCTCTCTTCAACCCTGACCTCTTCTTGTCTTCCCTTCTCCTCTGCAACCACTTTCTCTTTATTTCTCTTTCTCTCACTTTCGATGATACGCATTTTAAAAATACCCCCTGACAGATGCAGGTGGGTTGCCGCAGCGAAGACAGGAATGCAACAATCGTTCTTTTTTCTCTGCATAATGCCTTCAATTATTCTATCTTTCGAAAGGCTTATTCGGGAATTTTGACAATTTAATTCGCGCTAAGACGGTGCCAGTGTGATGAAAAGCTACTCAAAACACGACGCCATAAAAATGTTTATGCGTTATAAGAAGAGATTATGTTTCAGTGTTATTCAGTGAACGTTCATTTGTTTTGCTTACGTCATCTATCCATCTATCTATCTATCTATCTATCTATCTATCTATCTATATATATATATATATATATATATAAGTCTATCTATCTCTATCTCTAAGTCTATTCATATCTAAGTTTATTTATCTATAAATGTATATCTAAGTCTATTCATCTAAGTCTATTAATATCTATCTATCTATCTATCTATCTATCTATCTATCTATCTATCTATCTAAGTTTATTCTATTCATCTATCTTAATCTATACATATCTATCTCTAAGTCTATCTATCTATCTATCTATCTATCTATCTATCTATCTATCTATCTGTCTGTCTGTCTCTGTTCATATCAAATCTATCTATATATCTATCTATCTATATAAATGAATATGTATATATATATATATATATATATATATATATATATATATATATATATATATATGTCTATTCATCTATCAATCTATTCATATCTATTCATATTTATCTATCTCTTTCTCTATCTATAAGTCTATTCATATCTAAGTCCATTTATAAATATTAAGTCTATCTATCTATCTATCTATCTATCTATCTATCTCTCTCTCTCTATATATATATATGT